ATTCATTCAGTGAAATGTTTACAAATACATTCTTCCTCTTTAATAAATCATATGGTTCACTTGCTATTGTATGGCTTGTATCTTCCCATTAAGGTCAAACACTGAATACCTGTGACATCATCAAGGTTTAAGACTGCAATTGATCAGTTTGTTATTGGCATACGTGCATACTGTGCGTATTTCCTTAATATTGCCTTAATTCACAAGCTTTTTGTAAACAATGATCGATAGTGACTACCAGTGGGATAGGACGAAACATGCGTCCTGGATTCCACTGCTAGCCACTATCCATCATTGCTTACAAAAATCATATAGTTTATATAATGAGAAAGGTTTTAAATAATCTAAATGAATTGTTGCTTACACTCTCTCTTACTGTGTCCCTCTCACTCTCACTCTCACTTTCTTTTCTTTTGTTTGTCTAACGATTACAAATGTAATGTATCATACGTTTATGTATCATATGGAGGAGGTGGGATTTAACTACAGTTTAGGATATAAAAAAGAGAGGACACCTTATTTTCTATCTGATCTGATCTGATCGGACTGATAAAGCAAATATATCGGAGTTCAATTCCAATTCTAATTCATATTTTAATGTTAGTAATTATAGTTGTATAGTGAACGAGAACACAAGTGGGTACAATCGAATGTAATTGAATATAAAGCAATTAGTCCCTTTTATGAATTTCGTTAGAGCAATTAGAAGACGGAGTTGATCTGGGAAATGTGATGTATTTGCGATATACATTTAAAACAGTCTGGTCACACATATATTTCACAGATTGAAATCACGAGTCAATTGAAGCTAGACCACCATGGAAAACGTGGAAGCACCGGATGGCCGTTCCGACCTAGTATGGGACTCCTCAGCAGTGCGGATCCACGATCCGGCACCCCGCGAGATTCGGAGCCAGGACCTATCAGTCTCGCGCCAAGCGCTTACCAGCAAAGTTTAACCAGATCTGTTGTGAGATATCAGATCACTGAAGACAATGGTACACGGTGGCGCAACTTCGTGGATTTGTTGAATTCAGACATTAACACCATTGGATGCCGATTAGCTCAGTGGTCTAGTTGTTTAAGCGCCTGACGCGAGACTGATAGGCCCTGGGTTCGAATCTCGAGGGTGCCGGATCGTGGATGCCCACTGTTGGGGAGTCCCATACTAGGACGAAACGGCCATCCAGTGCTTCTAGGTTTTCCATGGTGGTCTAGCTTCAACTGACTCATGATTTCAATCTGTGAAATTTCTAAAATCTCCACAAACACATATATTTGTCAAGACATTTTATATGAAAGTTAATAAATCAATACAAAATTACAGAATATCTTAGTAAAATCTGAGAATCATACAACAAATTTTTCATTTGCAAATTATCAGTCAATTGTGTCAAACCTGACTGTTCATTCTGCAAAATGTCAATCACTTGTCCCAGACTTGATTGTCCTTTTGTTTCCACACCAATCATTTTTTGTTCTCATTCTTTTTCTTTTGATCTTCTTAACCTTCTGTCTCCAGGCATTTCATTTTCGATTAATGATGTATACTATTTATATCTGTCGATATCAGTAGCAAGCATCACAGTTCTATTTAAATTCTTTTTTGAAGTTATTTACCATCAATGAATAGAATCGCCTAGAAAATCGTTGAGTAGATGAAACATAATCGATATTGATGTTTAGCATTACCTACTTGGTATCTGACTAGATCAGATACTAAAAATTCATATCTAGATAGAATCCAACTACCATTAGGCTGATGATTTTGAATATAGTAATTAACTTCATTAAGAAAAAAAAGATTACATGGTAAACTAACAGGGAAAGTAGTGAATATTGAACAGCTGTTCTGTCCGACTTTAGAACTCTTTCGTTAAGACCTAATACAGGATGTGAGCCCAGGTAATCCGGGTTTCATGAAGTGTAAAATGTGTTTAAGCTAACATTTTGAAATTCACTATAGCACATTTCCTACTCACGACGAAATGCAACCTAACTTATTTCGTTTAAGAACTTAAAATATACACTTTTCCTTGTTGGCATATGGAATACTGTACTTATTTTGTATTTAGTTCATGTTATAGGCAAGGAATTTTTAAGTTGAACATTCGAGGCACATAAATTCCAGGATATAATTTTTTTGAATGAAAAGAATTATAGGATCATATACGTCAATTAACTTGTTTTCTTACACTGAAGAGCCAATATCTTCATATCTGTCGACGTTCCTAGCAAAATAAGAAAAAAAGCAAACCTAAGTCAGTACTTCGAGAGATATGATAATGAACGAGATGAGCTAGATATATACTTGCTTTCACTTTAATTATTCTTTTCCTGGTAGGAGATACAATTAAAATCGGGATTACTGTAAATTACTCATTTATGACGAGTCAAAACCAGGATAAAATCTAGATTCAATGCTTCCTTCCGATACCCTTCTACCGTCTAATATCCACCATGAAATATGCGATCAACTACTTCTCAGAATAAAACTATTATCTCCCAGACTGCAATCAGTGAGTCTTTCCCCAATGGATGCTAATTATTGTATAATTCATTGGAATGTAATGATTTCATTTCCATTTACTTCATGAAGTTACAAAACTCTAGTTCTCAGAGTGGAGGCGAAAAGTAATTATCGATCCTCACTGAACAACTACGTCTTCATATAACTAGTGAAATAATGAATTTAAAAAATCACTGAACAGATTCACTGTTTGATGATAGTTAGAACAACATGAAAGCAACCTTCAGTGCATTATTCCCAAGTTATTTGTATCATTACTATCGTTTGCTGATTAGATTATTTGTTCATTATTACTACTGACTACGATGATTCTTATCGTTTATTATCATTATCATTGTCTTCATTGTCATCGATACACTAACTTGGTTAACATAGGTTACGAAATCACATTTTACTGGTCATTTTCTAATGATCTATCAGTTTATAATAAATATGTATTTGTGATATCTTAAATTACGCCCACCAGTATCCTCCAACACACTCTGTCCTGGGCCTTCCTTTCTAGTTCTATCCAATTTTTGTTCATTCTTCTCATGTCTGCCTCCATTTCTCGGTGTAATGTGTTCTTTGGCCTTCTCCTTTTCCTTTAACCTTGAGGATTCCAACTGAGGGCTTGAGTTGTGACTCAGTTGGTTGCTTTCCTCAGTCTGTCTTATCCACTTACAGCTCTTCTTCCTAATTTTTTCATCCATTGGAATCTGGTTTATTTTCTCTCATAGTAGGTTGTCACTGTCTGATAGTGTCTGGCCAACGGATACGAAGTATTTTGCGTAGACAGCTGTTAATGGACACTTGTATTTTCTGGATGATGGCTTTCGTAGTTCTCCAGGTTTCCGCCCCATACAGTAGAACTGTGTTGACATTTGTATTGAAAATCTTGACCTTGGTGTTGGTTGACAGTTGTTTTGAGTTCCAGATGTTCTTCAGTTGTAAATATGCTGTTTTTCCTTTGTCGATCCACGCCTTCACATCCGTATGTAAAGGTTTTTACATTCTCCAAAGCTTCTCCGTCAAGTGTGATTCGATTGTTGTATGTTGTGTTGTATCGGAGAATCGTGCTTTTTCCTTTGTGTTTATTGAGACCTACTGCAGCTGAGCCTACTGCTACACTGATCGTCTTCTGCATTTGTTGTTGCGTTCGCGATAGAAGAGCCATATCATCTGCGAGGTCTAGATCGTCTAGCTGCATCATAGCTGTCCACTGTATCCTGTGCTTCTCCCCAGATGTTGACGTCTTCATGATCCAATCGATCATTATATTATATTTTTGACGTTTCATGACTTCTTCAAAGCAAATAAATAACCAAAACCATGATATAATTTCCATTATATTATTTACACTTGTATTAATTTTACTTCTGTTATTTATTTACTCTGAAGACTAATACTAAATTACGAAACATCTGAAGTACAATTTTCTACTTATTGGGATAACAAAAAGAGAAGAAACTATTGATTATAACCTTTTTACTAAATGATCGATTTATTTGAAACGATCATGTTCAATCTTGGCATTGAGATCTATTAGTTTGTAAAGTTTTTACTACTATCAGGAGAAATTATACGATAAGGTTTCTTCAGTTAACGGTTTGTTTGGCTTCCGTTTGTTAAATAAGACATGCATGATATACAACTACCTTGACAAATAAAAGTTGTATCAGTTTACTGGATGTGCATGATATGTAAATTCACTTGAAATGATTTTAGGCTTCTTTAATAAATTTCACCTTCATAATCATTTATACATTACCTGTGATGTATATGCTTACTTAATAACCCTCTTCAGGAATAACAACCCTAACATTAAATCGTACATTACAAAATTAGTTCACTTAGGAATTATTGCGAGAAACCTGATTTTATCTATCGAAAATAAATAGTCTACTTTCGTTGATCTAGGTACTAAACATTAAAAAAGAAACGTACTGTTATAGAAACACAGTGATGTCTTATCACTATCTACAGTCCACTCAGTAAAATTTGAAGTTACCGATTGGAATTTCATTGAATGATAGTAAAATAATTTATGGGGGAGTAGTTGTTGGCACTCTATTACAAGAAATAAAGAATGGAGTGATTTTTTTTTCTAAGAAAAAAAAGACAGTTGTTACTTTACCTGAGATTTACCAAGAAATAACGATTTACTAAATCAATATAGGCTATTTTACTTCCAACCAATCATGTTATCGGTGTGCACATTAAATATATACTTGTACACACACCGACACAATGGTATTCACAAAATTGATATGAACATTGTAGATTTGTCCACAGACAAAAGAGGTCAGGCTATGCAATGATAAGATTGGTTAAGTTTTATTATGTGTAACAGAGGCAACAAAATCCTATTTGACTGTTCACGTGTATTCTTCCTCTGTAATCAATAAGTTTTCTTCTCTCTCTCTCTCTCTCTCTCTCTCTCTCTCTCTCTCTCTCTGTAACCCATTCCGGTTTAAAAAGTAAGGGAAGACGACATTCAACCTAGTCACATAAACATAGTCAATTTTTTCAAAGTTTCGATCTCGCGCAAAATATTTTATTCAGGGATTTGCTTTTTTAAATCTGTGAAAGTGAAAACATTTGCGCTTTTGCTAACATCATAAGTGAATATCTTTCTACTATTTAACACAAGTAAAATAAGCTATTCGTTTACTGTGTAATATTGTGCAGCATTTGTGACATAATAACCAATTTGGAAAGTTATTAAATTGATTAGTAACATTTCTTGAATTCAAAAAGTGAGTATAATATTTATTTAGTTTTAATTTAATATAATCGTTAAACTAATGCATTACAAATTCATTAATGTTGTATAACTTAAACCATAGAATTTCAGTTTAATCCTGTAGGAGACTATCGTTGATCATTATTGAAATGTAAAGATGCAAGAACCAAACAGTTGATAAATAGTCTTCAGATGGTGGTTGGAGTTAGTTGACAGGAAACCCTGGATCTGGGTTTCGTGCTACTTGGCACTCGTTAGCAAGGTGTACCTGTAATCTAATCTCAATATGTAGTGCACGCAGTGTTGAGTCACCTAGACTGGTGACCACATTGCAACATGGTCGATAGCATTCGATCTGCACTAAATAAGGACTTGACACGCATGACATTGATCACCACTAAGTGATCAATCAATTGTGATAAATAATCTTCCTTCCAGCGACTACTAGAATGTTTAATGAATACAATATTCTATAATCATAGAATCGTTATGACCGTTCTTATCATTATAATTACCTGGCTTCTGTAAGTCGTCATTCGGTTTATCTCTTATATGGTTTACAATGTTGTTTAACTTCAGTATTCATAAGATGATGAGTTTAATCGACTATCAAAATTGTTTAATACATTTATCATTGCCCTGCCAAGAAATTGTGATCATTTCGAAACCATTTCAAAATATTAAACTACATATTTAAGTGAATTCATGTTAAGCGGCTGATTATATAATCGTCTAGACTCATTAAATTTGAATTTATGTTAATTGGCACTTAACACTAATAAAGAATATTCACAATTTCCCTGTAAGAGTGATTTGAATCCGCTATACTCATTATTAGAGTTCGAGTTGTTATCGTTGAACCATGTGTATGTCGTCATACATACATACATAGGGAAGAGCAATCGTGATCTCAAAATTAGGGTGTGTGAACATGTACTTAAATGGTTGAAGAAACAAATAGAAACAAGTGACTCAATAAGAGTAGAGGATAAACATCCATCATCTTCTATTGCCAAACACATAATTGAAACAGGTCATAAGATTGATTTTAACTCGGCTTTTGTGGTGTATACTAAGGTTTATTGAAGCCTCAGCCATACGAAAATTCACACCCCCTCTGTGTATTCAAAAACAGTTCATTCTCACCTTAAACCTACCCTGGTAATATTGGTTTATTATCCAGAGTGATGAGGTTTCAAATTGTGTTCACATTATTATTATTACTCTTATTATTACCCTTGTCTCATCTTGCCCCCATTTCCAGTCTAGTTGACCTTTTATTTTCACGTATAAACGTTCTTAACAAGTATATGTGTGATCAGATTGTTCGAAATGTATTGCACTAATATATCGCATAGTACTGGTAATCTTTGTCTTCCTATTACATTATCGGAACCATTATGTGCCTAATCATGCTTTGTATAGTTTTAAAATATTATAAATTATTTTATTCAATTGAATACTGAAATAATGTTGAAAAGGTAATTAATTTCTTCAATGTTTCTCTAAACAGTGGTTATTTATAAGCAAAGATGGATAGTAGCTAGCAGTAGTATCCAGAACACGCATTTCGTCCTATTTGGGACCAGTCAGCTGGATGTACCTGTATCTCAGAGTTGATGTTCACTCTGGGATTCGAACGCAGTACTGTTCACTTCAAACGCCATCTCATTATCCACTTAGCTACTAAGTCCTGAAAGTCACTTGCTTGTGCAATCGGGCAAAGTTTAAATTCACTTGGTGTTGTTTCTTTGAATCTTCTCATTGAATTAAGGCAATATCGAGGCAATACATACAGTACGCACATATACCAATAAGAGATTGATCAATTGCAGTCCTAAACTACAATGGGAAGATTCAAATAAACAATACCAAGTGAATTTAATGTTTATTAAGTTAAATATACTACAGCAATATGATTGATATCAGATGGGTTTTGTGGATAATATAGTAATTTCAATGGTTAAGACCATTATGATTGGTTCCATTTTAATAGTTAGTAGTATTATAGGTCATAAAAGGAATTTATTAAAATTATTATATTTCCTGAATATACATATTTTTTTCTAGGAAATTATGGTAATATATATATGTATATATATGAAGCTTCTATTAGGTTTTGATGTTCTGAGTTTAAATACAATTTCTTATTCTGATCTGATCTGATAAACTAAGCTCGAATAGGACTATTTGTAGTTGGTTACTTACTTTACTTACTTAGGCCTGTTACTCCCAATGGAGCATAGGCCGTCAACCAACATTCTCCAACCCACTCTCTCTTAAGCCTTCTTTTCTAGTTCCATCCAATTCTTGTTCATTTTTCTCATATATATCTTCATTTGTCAGCGTAATGTGTTCTTTGGTAAATTGATGTGAATAGTAATGTGAAACTATACTATAAGTAAGGAATTTTGTTATAACTTTAACATTAATTCTTAATTTAGTGGACGGGTTCATTTGATTCAAAAGTTTTTAATATCCTCTTAGACGATAGTACCATGTGCTATTTCACTTTTGCTTTAAGTAAATGTTGAAATCGAACGTATCACCATAAAAAAGCATCTATATAAGATTACAAATATGTATCTAGTAGAAATGTACATCTTGTATTTTGCCAAATAAAGCAAACACACACTTACGTAAATACTAATTGGAAAGTATTATTTGTAATAATTACATCAAGGAAAGTAATGTGTCTATATGGTACATGCTACTTATGCTGACAGATATAAGTAGTATGTAGCATGAATCGAAAGTGGATCGCCTGTCAGCAGATGGTTGAAATGAAGAGAACAGGTAGGAAATCGGTGAGCAGTCGAAATAACAATAGAATTAGAAGAATAATGGAGTAAATAAAGGACAATGCAAAGAAGCTGTGCAAATGATGTATTTAAAGTATAGTTTTCATATTTTCAGCACCTGAGTTTCGGTTCACAACATATTTATGTAAACATTATATATCACTTAGCGGTTTCGAACCGATTATCAGTGCTTCACTCAGATAGTCTAAATTTTAATTGTGACTACTGAACTCGTGAAAATAAGCATTGAGACAATATCATTCCATAACATTTCACACAGTTTTCGGAATTATTATTATTATTTTAACACATAGATATTGGTACAAGAAGGCACCAAATACATATGCGCCACACAAATATCATTCGATATGTGTGAGGGCTGGGATACTGCCAGGGTGCCCAAGCCGAAGCAGGTGGTTATCTCAGGGGGCCACTCCCTGAGCCTTTGACCTAAAGGTCTAACCCACAAGGCAGTGGAGCATCGTGAGGAGATGCAGTCCCATGGTAGCCGGTGACCGAAAATTGGTTCATACGCCATTTGTTCCCTCAGTATACTGGAGCCTATGCGCATCATTGGTTTGGAATCCGGTTAAAGCGCCGGACATTCGCTTTTCGTCCTCTCATTTTCGTAAACAACACCCCCGCCACGAGAAGGCAATGAGTAGGACTTCCCTGGCAGAGGCTATATACGCGTGGCCATGTGAGAGCATTTGGAGAGGGAGAGCGGACTCTCCCCACTCTCGGCCATACCAGGGCATTTGGGGGCTTACTCATTATTATTATTATTATTACTATTATTATTATTATTATTATTATTAGTAGTAGTAGTAGTAGTAGTAGTAGTAGTTTATTATTTTGGTTCAGTTTATTAAATTGTATCGATCACTCAATAAATAAGAGAAGTTTATACAAATAAATGAAATTTTGTGGAAGTTATTTAAATGTGTAGGTAATATTTGTTATGGTATCCATGTGGTGTGTACTACTAATATTGACAAATATAAGTAATATGTTGGTGGAACACATATATCGTATGCATCATCAATCGAAAGTGAAATAAATGACGGTAGAAGGTTAGGAAGATTAAAGAGAAGAGAACGAGAACAGAGAATGATTGGTGTGGAAACGAAGGAACAATCAAGTCTGAGACGATTGATTGACATTTTGCAAATGAAATATTTATTGTATGGTTCTCATTATTTTACTATCATATTATGTAATTTTGTATTCAAGTACATTTGTTTGTTCCCGGTTTTGTTCTTGTTTCACTACATTCCTACTGAAATTAATTCTTGTTTGGAAATCACATGAAAAGATATGTTATATCAGACCACTAAAACCAAATGTTTGTTAGACTTTCTATATTACTGGTTAACCCTTATGAAAACAGAAACTTACATTCAATGTTCGAAGTAAACAATCAAATATATTTCAATTCAAACTTGATTTAGGTTCATGAAGATACGAAAAATCAGATTATTCATTTTAAGAGGGTATTTATTGTACGAAACCAATGAACTATTTCTAGAGCAGAAATTAAATATACCAAACGCGTATATTGTTATTTTATACTTACTAGTATGTGTTGAGAGACAACTAGTGTAGCAGCAGCCTCTGAATCAGTGGGCCTCAACATACACAAAGGGAAAAGCAAGATTTTCAAATACAACAGAGAGAACAACAACTCAATCACACTTTGTGAAGAAGCTCTGGAAGATGTGGAATCTTTCACTTACTTGGGAAGCATCATTGATGAACATGGAGAATCGGTTGCAGACGTAAAAGAGGGGATTAGCAAAGCGAAAACCGCATTCCTACAATTGAAGAACATATGAAACTCAAAACAACTGAAACTTACACAATTACCACAACCATCATCAAAAATGTACAAGTATTTATAAATATTTACGTGAGATATTCAATATCCGTTGGTCGGATACCATCAGCAACAGCCTACTGTGGGAGAGGGAAAACCAGGTTCCAGCTGAAGAGGCAATTATGAACAGACGTTGGAAGTGGATAGGATACACATTGAGGAAACTATCAAACAGGATCACGAAGCGAGCGGCAACTCGGAATCCTGAAGGGAAACGGAAAAGAGGAAGGCCGAAGAGCATACTACGTCGGGAACTTGAAGTAGATATGAAAAGGATGAATAGCAACTGAAAAGAACTGGAAACGATTGCCCAGTACAGGGTTGAATGGAGAGTGC